TCAATGATGAGACAGCTTCAGGCCAGGCACGAGTGGCTCACCACCTGTAATCCCAGCACTTTGGATGGCGCGGACGGCACACGTGATCCTGAGGTCAGGAGTTCGGGAGACCAGCGCTGGCCAACATGGTCGAAAGCCCCATCTGCTGAGCTGGAAAAATACAAGAAGTGTAGCGCAGGGATGTGGGCGAGCACCTGTGAGTCCGAGGGGCTAGCTCAGGAGCTGGAGCAGGAGAAGTCGCGGTTGGAACCCAGGAGTCAGAGGTTGCAGTGAGCTGAGATCGTGCCAACTGCACTCCAGGCCTGGGGGGACATTGAGCCGAGGCTCATCTCAAAAAAAAAAAAAAAAAAAAAACAACTTCCAGAAGAGATGTGAAAAAAAAAAAAAAAAAAAATATATATATATATATATGTGTATGTATGCTAATGAATACAATCAAATATTCAGAGGCAGCTGCCTCCTTACGAAGACTGCTGGAGGAGAAGTACGTGATACTCTGAGCTTGACTACTGAGAAAAAATTGGTTGTAACATCTCTGGACCCTTGATGGGAGGAGAGAAGCTGAAAGAAAGGGTATTTTCAACATTTTGAGCAGATCTTGGAAGAATATATACCAGACTCTTAATGGTGGTGATTTTGGGAGGTGAGGTCAGGTTAAGTGTGGGATTTTTTTCTGTTATGCACGCATTACTTCAGTAAGCAGGAAAAAATAGCAATAGATGAGCAGCGTTTAGTGATTTGAGGTGATGAGCAAGAGACTGCAGGGTTGAGGGGTGAGGTTGTGATTTTCTAAACAAATTTTTACTCATTTGTTTATTGTAGTAGAGATGGGGGTCTCATTATGTTGCTCAGGCTGGTTTTGAACTCCTGAGCTCAAGTGATCCTCTTGCTAAGGCCTCCCAGAGTCCTGGGATTACAAATGTCAGTCACCACATCTGGCCAGTTGTGATTTTTGAGTTTGAGACGCAAAAGTCCTAGTTCTGGCTGGAGGCAGGCACACCTTGTCCTTATAAGCAGCCCTCCTCTCCCATCCCATTTCCTAGTAGAAGGAGAACTTGATAATCAATCAATCAATCAATGGGCATTTTTGACTTCCCAGATTCCCACCTTAAATCTTGGCCATTGTCATCTGATGAGACGTCGTCAACGTGGATCTGGTCACAATCCTATGGAAAATGTGACAAGAAGAGAAAGAGAGAGAGAGAGAGAACGTGCCTTGTTAATCTGATGTAGCCTTTAAGGGCTGGCTTCATAAGCTGAGGGCTGGGATAAGCACTGCATTGGGAGTCATCAGGCTCGGGTTCTAGTCTGGGTTTGGCCACTCAAGGTTAGATGTCCTTAGGTTCAATCTCATCCTCTTTTTCTGTTTGGTTTCCTTATAAATGAGCAGGTTGACTGCAAGGAAAGTGACCATACAGTTACTCATCCAAACAGAGATAGTTTTGTAGTAAAGGGGGCTGGTATTATACTAGGGGGATAGGTGCAAACCAGGACACCCCTAGGTCCCCAGCTTCCCAGGTATGGCCAGACATACGGTCACCCTGGCCATATGGTGGACCTTCGTTGAAGGTGTTCCGTGTTCCCGCTGCTTGAAATGCTCTCCTGCCTTCACCTGCTTAGTGAATCCTGTGCTTTTCAAGTATTAGCTCCTGGAGGGACACCTGCTGTGGGCCATGATCTGTGATCATCATTTACTGAGCACTTACTATGTGCCAGGCACTATCCCCCGGGCTTGCCATTCAACAAACTCCAATGCCATGCTGTTTCCCATTCAGATTCCTTGGGGAAACACCTCTCTCTGTGGGACAAGACCATGGGGTGGAGGCCGGGCACGGCGGCTCACGCCTGTAATCCCAGCACTTTGGGAGGCTGAGGCAGGTGGATTGTTTGAGGCCAGGAGTTCGAGATCAGCCTGGCCTAGAGAGTATCATCCATGCTTGACTACTGCAGAAAAGATCACTCCTTCTTGGGACGAGTAATAGAATTATCCACCTGAGATCACCAAGCTGCTGATCAGCAGTCCTGGGTAAATGAAATGAAAGGAAATAAATCGGCAAATAATGAGCAGTACAAAGCTTAGGTGTAACCAGCATGTCTGCTGGCACCCAAGAGTGGGCGCTCACCAGTGTCCTTCCAGTCCCCCCACTTTGCCAACAAAGTATTCTCATTCAGGTCACCCTTTAGCATCCACCATGTTCTTGCCATCTGCTTACTCCCATATTGCCCAGAGCTGACCCCTAGGAAGCCACCTGGGGGGACCATCCCTGCTGCCACTTCGGTCTCCACGGCCTAAAGAGCACACACTGTTCCAAACCCAGGGTGCTGCCCGTAGGACCACAGCAGAATGCAGGGTCCTATGCAGAGGTGAGAGATCGGCACGTCACCACTGTTGTCTTGCCACAAACCGTTCGCTGTGCCTGGGCCCTGTGTGTCAAGACCTGGAAACAAGCCTCACTTCAGCACACCCTTTCTAATCCTGAAACCCATTCACGGGCCGAAGGGGAACCCAGCAGCACACACTACCCTCTTGCACAACCCTCTCTTAGTTCCCAGCCAGCTCCCCACGAGGCGCTGCCACCAGATCCACTGACCCCTCCCTTCCTCCTAAACATCACCACTCAACAACACAGACTACCTTAATGTATCCTTTAAAACAATAATGAGGAGGCTCGTTATAACTCTAGCAGTTGGGGAGGCCACAGCAGGAGAGATCACTATGAGCCCAAAGTTTCAAGACCAGCCCTCGGCGCAACATTCTAGTCATTTTTAAAGAAACGAAAAAAATGAATGGAGGCAAGGGCGTTTCCCACCATCAACCCCTGCAAAGCTTATATACTCAAAGATCAAATTCAAGGCTTTTGGCCAGGCGCACCTGCTAATCTCTAGCCTTTAGAGTCCGAGACTGAGTCTCTTGAGGTCAGGCATTTGAGACCAGCCTGCGCCAACATAGCCAAAACCTCATCTCTCCTAAATTAGCAGCTGGCCGTGGTGGCACACACCTGTACGTCCCAGCTTACTTGAGAGGCTGAGGCTTGAGATCACTAAACCTGGAGAGGCTGGTGGCTAGTGAGCGGAGATCGGTGCCAGCTACACTACAGCCTGGATGACAAGAGCGAGATTCTGTCCAAAAAAAAAAAAAAAAGCTTTTTGCTTGCAATTGTCTAAAAAGAATCCTTGCTCAAAACCGTATGAAACGACCACTTTCATTCCAGCGTCTCTACTCACATCAGAAGGGCTCCGAGAATGTTGCAAGTCAATTCTTTTCTCCAGTAGCCCAGCTCAGAGTCCCCACATCGCTTCTCCTCCTCCCAGCCAGCTCCTTGTAGAGGCAAGCTGCCTCCAGACAATCACCTTGCAACTAAAATGTGGAAAATGTCGTAAGATCTTAACACAGTGGGTAGAAACTAACGTGTGCAGCGCCCACATGTGCCGCTGCCAAGCAACTCACCACTAGTTTCCGCTCTCATGCACGGCGTCTTCACCCTTCTCCTACCTCATCTCCGGAAGCTCTCGTTCAGTTATCAGGTTCCATTTATCAGTCCAGTCTGGCGTCACGAGGCTCATGCCCCCTCGTCAAGGCTCACACACATGGGAACGTAAGGTTGGATCAGGATCCAGCCCAGAGCGGTCAGATTCTCCAGAGCTGCACCCTGACCAATACTGCAGGGCTGAATACCCCCGCACACCTTTTTACCCCATCAACATACATCGTATCGCTCTGCTGGCATCATGAAGTGCACCTACATGAATATGCTTTGCCCCATCAGGCTATCATGGAGCTGCACTTCAATGATGCAGGCGGAGTTGGCAGCTGTGCATCGTGTCAGCGCTCCACTTGAAACAACATACACCCACAATGACTCTTGGCTGCAAGTGTCAGAAACCAGCTGCATTCACTTAATCTGAAAAGTTGTGTATATTGCTTCGCCCAGGGCTGCTGTAAACAAATTTCCACCACTTTATGGCTTCAACACAGCGCCCTGTGTCCCTCTTACAGTTCCTGGGTGTCAGGAGTCCCTATCAGTCGTCACTGCGCGTTCACTATCTGAGCTCTGAGAGGAGAATCGGACTTCACGTTTTTTTTTTTTTTTCTTTTTGAGACAGAGTCTCGCTCTGTCGCCCAGGCCTGGAGCTGCAGATGGTGTGATCTCGCTCCACTGCAGCTCCTGCCCTCCCAGCGTTCAGCGCTCATGCCTCAAAGCCGCCCCAAGTGAGCTGGGACCACCGATGCGTGGCCACCATGCCAGCTAATTTTTTGTATTTTTAGTAGACGGCAGGGTTATCTCCATGTGGGC